AAAAAAGCCCTGTCTATGTCCAATCTTGAAGCAAATAAGAGCAGCTTGAGGTACTGAAGGATAATATGTGGCTGGCGTGGAGTCAAAACGCCTTCACATAAAAACAACATTAAACATTTTTAAGTCCAAAAATGCCACTCCCAGGTCCAGGAATTGATCCAAGACAAAGGCTCCAGATTTAAACTCCGTTTCGAGTTTTCTTCTTCAGAAAAAGGACTGCTCTTCGGGTTAACCGTTGGCTCTGTAAATGTCTCGTTCACTTCTCCGTAAACCTCTCTCTCAATGTTCTGATGCTCAGTTAGTCACTGTGCTCCCACTCAATGTTCCCTCTGAGCTGAGTGAGTGTGAGCTAGCTCACAGTTTCTTAGCCTCTGGCTCACACGTTTTTGACTTAGCTCAGGGAAGATGGCCACAGAGCAAACTAATTTATGCCGTAGCCAAATCGCTCGCTCACAACTTGAGCCAGTAGCTCACAAAGTAGAATTTTTGCTCACAAGGCTCCACAGTTTAGAGGGAGCATTGCTCCCACTTGTCTTCTATAACAGACTTAACATTCAGATTTCAGTAGTTGGTATAGCATCCTGTGTTTGAAGTTGTTACGCAGTGGAACGGTCATGTGTTTCAAATGAATGGATGTCCTTCAATGCTGAATAGTTTTGTATAGAATTTCATATTTCTGTAATTCTATAGTGATGGTTCTTGGATGGAATATTGAGATCTCATATGACAAATGTGATCCTGCACTGGCATCTTGAAAAATACACTTATATTAAAAAGCGAAATGGATATGATCTATTGGACATATTCAGAATTTATTAAGAAAATACCCTGCCTGGTTAAGAAAATACCCTACCTGGTGAAATATACGTCAGATTCTCTAAGAGATCTATAAGAGATGCAATATTGAAAGCAACATCTGGGACTACACTGAAAATTAAAGAAGAAGACATCAGAATACTAAAAGATATTCCATTTGAGATAAGGAAGAAGAGAAAACAATACAAGAATTTAACCACCTATTTACGGGAAAATTCCACTACCTACCGATGGATACTACCTGAAGGCTTGATGTTCAACTACAAAGGGAAAAAAGAAAAGACTGACTCTGTTACCAAAGCGAAGCAGTTTTTGGAACAACATCAGGAACCCAAAAAGGATACAAAGAACACAGAGGAAGAAGGAGAAGGAGAACTGGACAGTTCGCATGGCTTGGAAAGCCACAAAACATCCGCAGGCAGCAGCTCAGAAGTAGAATCCGAATCAGAATTGGGAGGGGCAGAACCCAAACCACCCCAGGACGATAAAGGCAAGAAGAGAGGAAGGAAAGGCAGAAAATAGCTTAAACTTTAGAAGAAATGCTTATATTGCATTACATAATCTTGCATTGTCAATAATTTTAAATTTTTACTTACTCTCTTTCTACAAAAAAGGGAATATTCTACAGATGGATATTTCCTGAAGGACTGAGTTTCAACTATGAGGACAAAAAATTAAAGATTGACTCTGTTCCAAGAGCAAATAAGTTTATCACCCAATTTTCAAAGCCAATGCAAAATAAAAAAGAAAACAAGACGAAACTTTCTGCAGAGGAGGAGGAAGAAGAAGACGAAGAATCCTACTCGCAGGATTCAACAAGCACAAGTTCTAAATCTTCAGAGACTTTGGAATCTGAAAAAGGAGAAGCCGCTCCCAAACTTCAGACAAGGAAGAAATGCAAGAAGAAAAGACTCTGAAACTAAGATAGATGTTTATGCAGTTTTTGTTTAAATGATATTCAAAGCTAATTTTTATTCTTAAACTTTTATTTACAATGTTATCTTTATATTCGTTGGTGATATAAATATCCATGTAATCCAGATCATGTTACCTGTTAGCTCCACTTCCCCATTTCCTAGTAGAATTGTAGTGTATTAGTGTATTAGTGTTCCACTCCCCCATTCCAGTAGTTTTAGTGTTGTAGTAATGGAAAAACAATAAAATCTTTATTAAAAAATAATTTTAAATTTTTGCATATCAAAATAACAGAATAGCATTTTTATTCTTAACCCAAATAAGAGAAAAGCTTTGACTTAAGAAAATAATTATCATCATATATGGTCGTTGTATTGCTGTAATTTTAGTCAGTGTGTAGCTTTGTAGGGTTTATGAAGAAAATAAAAATGAAAATAATTTTAGAAAAAAAGAAAAATATACTCATGATGAGTCTTGAAGGCTTTCGTTTTATCAACCTCGACTAGTATTTCGCTTTGCTTAGTCGCAGTTTCTTGCTTTCCTGTCACGTACTAGTCAGACTGTGACCCCCTAGTGATGGCCTCTGTTTCAATGGGCAGCTGTGAGAGACGCTGGTGGCCTACTTCTCCTGGAGGTGCTAAACTTGCGTTGAGCCCGCGCCACTTCGGCCTGCAGCGGGACGTTCCTTCGTACCAAAAGATTCCCTGCACACAGAACGCTAGGCAGCAGGGAGTCAAGTTCTAGTGTCGCTTCTTCCCCAAGGGCTAGTCTTCTACAAACGGGGGGCTGCGTCGGAATCCCAAAGGTGCCCACAGGTTCAAAAAGGCTGGGGACCCCTGCCCTAGCTAATGAGCCTATGCAAGACCAAAAGACTCATGAAAAGCCAAGAGTCTGCCCAGTCCCCATTTCCACCGCCTTGGAGCCTCAGGATTAAGAGTAACTTCGAGGCCAGGCACCTCAGTAGGAGGAAAACACTTGGAACAAGGGGGGATGATTCCCTGCCTCCGCCGCTGACCCCCGCCATAGCACGTGTGTCGCTTTACCTGCAGCAGGCGCGGAGGCTCCCTTCTGGGGGTCCCACAGAGAAGTCTTCACCCTGCTGCCACCCCCACCGGGATCCGGGGCACGTGGGGGATCGCGGAAGACAGGCGGAAGGCGAGAGGGTGGTGCGCTGGGGTTTGGGCAGGGCGCTGGAGGGTGCCCTGGAAGAGAACAGAAAGGAACAGCATTCGGAGGCGGCCCCTGAGCGACAAAGCGTGAGCCGCGGGGTGTTATTGTATTACTTCCCCCAGCTCTCCTGAGCCTGTCTGTCTCCACCTGCCTATTCGGGAGAAAAAAGTGCACCGGGAGCGTGCGTGCAGGACTGGCAGCATGGGATGTTTGGCCAGCATAGCCAAAGCCGCCCATCTTGGCACCTGGGGCTTCACGGTCACTCCCATTAAGAACATAAGAGAAGCCAATGTTGGATCAGGCCAGTGGCCCATCCAGTCCAACACTCTCTGTGTCACACAGTGGCCAAAAATACCAGG